GCAGTCCAGAGGCTGCAGACAAGGAGAAGGAGCTGACCCCTCCTGAACCTGAACCCACGTGTTCCAGTGGATTAGCCAATGCAATCCAATGGACCACAGGGCATGGGAGCATTGGAAGTGCTTGTGCTTGAAGATTTACACTGTTCTGTTTCTACCCACAGCAAGACATGGGGAAGCCGCAGGAAGGCCACCAACCCTTTTTTGACCTTGAGCATTATTCAGATGTCCTTCCCACCTCTGGCAGCATTAGGCAGCCTATGTTACCAACCAGCAGCAAAATACCCATTTTCAAGAGGAGTAAGATGCCTGCACTGTGACTGAAGCAGTCATCAGGCAGCAAGTGGCAGATCATCAGAGATGATGCATGCTACTAAACAGAAGATAGCTTTCAATGTTCAGCCATTCACCAGATGGGGGATGCCAGATCCTGGTTCCTTCTCCATCTGGTTTCCTGACTTCCACATCCCATCACTCACCACTTGCAGTAGGCAGGTGATACCCTCCCTGATGCATAGTAGTACTAGGACTGCTACAAGCAGCAGGCCCTGACACTCATCTTCACTTCACCTCAGACATTTTGTCCAGTGATGCACAGGTGGATGCTACTTCATGCCAGGGCACTCACATGGCAGATGAGGTGAATGTCGAGACTGGCTTTCTTGACAGACAGATTTCAAGCATGACTTTACAGTCATGGACAATGGGCTCAACAGGCAATGGGCAATCAATTGGCGCAAGTTGTAGGCAGTTTCTATCCTTGAACCTCTCAAGTGCAAAGACAGCCATGTTGAACCAGATTCTGTCCTTAATTCTTCCAAGCTGACAATCTCCCCTGCTGGGGAGATCTCTGGGGAATCTCTTCCCCTGCTGGGGAAATAGCACAGGTGGAGGACTCTAGATTGAACTGGGCATTCAATAGATGCTCCTCTCTTAGCAGAAGCAGCAGCTGCCAGGCCCTGGTTCTCTACTTAGGGCAGCACATTACCAGGAAGAGGTATTTTCCATCTGCTTGGCTAATAGCACAGAACACAACATTCTGTGCTATCTAGAGAGCCAATCTGGGGCAACCAATTCCAAGGTTTGGCCAGTTTTGGCAAAGGTTACCTGGCAGTATGTCTCTTGCACATTAACCAGTACCCAGGTGCGAGTGATGGACTGTTACCATATCTCCTGCTCTGGAGATCAACCGATCATTCACCTCCCCTTAAAATGAGCTTCCCCTTTTTGGACTTCCCTGACTTGCCATTAGAGGGAAACTGAGGGTTTACCCCTTAGCTCACTCTCTAGACCACTGGTAGCAGCCTCCCTATGCCCAGGTATGGGCAATGAGTGGTGAACAGTCATTTGCTCTCTAGGGCAAGTCATATTTGGATGACTCCCTGGCTCACTTGCTGGCTGTCCCTTTCAGTCCCTGAGCAGTACCACTGAGTGAAACACGCTGGAAGACTACATGTAGGTTCATCTGGAGCTTAGACCATGTGAGGTGCAGTGGGATTCATCCACCTTCACTCTATGACCCTTCAACCAGGTGTGGTGGTGAAAGGTACCCCCCCATACACATGTAAGCTGCATTCGCTACCAAACCTCTGAGTGTCCCCCACACACATATGAACTGCTGAAAGTGCCCTAAGAAAACATTCGCAGCAAGCTGAAACAACAGGTAGAAGTATCAGTTAGAAACCTGTGGCCCAGTAAACAAAATTGCTTCTATTCACTGACCATATTTCAAAAAAGATAGTATGGCTAGCATGCTGACCTAGTAGAAGGGATAATCCTTTTTCTGTGCCTTATCCTTGCAATGTAGTGGGCCAAAAGTACGTAAGCTCTGGTTCTGCTCTTGCTCATGGCTGTTCAGCAAAGTACCAATGCTTTGCTTGGAGTCCAGTATATACTGTTCATTGATTGCACATAAATAAAATTATATTGTATCTTCAAAGTAATTTGGCTGCTTTAGGTGAGACAGGTTTTGGCCACAACGCAGGCTACCATGACCATGCATGGTGTCGGTCCCATTAGGCAGACCAGACCAGGAAATCAACTCCACAGGAAGGCTAAAAATACTTTTATGAGATTGACTCTAACAGAATCCTGCAAGTCTGATCAAGCTGCACGTCCTCCTCCTCCTCCTTATAGTTCAGTGAATTAGAGAGGCATCTGCCTGAGCCACTGCTGAGTGTTATCTTGTTCTGGATTTTAAAAATGCTATCAGCCCCTTTTGCTTAGGTAACAGTTCCTGCTTATCTCCATCAAGGTCATCTTCCTTACTTTCTACACCTGCTCAGTGATGATCTGATAATCAGAAAAGGGCTCACAGAGGGCCTGGTTACTTGAGGGACAAATCTCCCACAGTATCTTGAGGGACAAGTCTCCCACAGCCCATCCAATTTGGTCTTGCAGGGCTGGGGGGGGCTCCAGGCTCCTTTGATTAAACAATGTCCTCTATCAGTACCCTGAGAGTGCACCTTCTCTGTAGCAGCACCTGCCCTCTGGAATGAAGTTCCCCCTGAGATCCAGACGCCCCTCTCCGTAGTTCAGAAGGGCCTTGAAGACCCGGCTCTTCACCCAGGCCTTTGGCAAGGGAGAGTGAATACCCTTTGCTTTATCCCTGTCCAGCTTATCATTCTCACCATCTTTTATTTTTTTACGGTTATTATTATATTATTATATTTAGTATAATATTTTGATCTGGGTGGCATACAGATTTGATAAATACTAACACTATGCACTAGCTTTTAGGGCATATAAGACACACAGAATACATACATGAAACATGGAGATGCAGTGTATGTACTCTATGCATGTTTAAAATGCAACTCTACGTTGACTGACCGACTAAATATTGGTGCACGGTCTATGCTGATGCCACCCATGGTGCATTCTGCTGCAAGGACATATTTGAACTTGTCTGTTTGTCCTGTCTGTTGCAGTTCTTCTGTCTCTTTCGCACTTCATGTGTAAAAACAATTATTTTGCTGAGCAAGGCTGTGTGCATAACTTAGGATTACTCTTTTGTACTGGGAGCTACTGAGGATATAAATGACAACACCAGACAGGAAGGGATTTGGGGGGGGGGATGACAGGCCTCTCCTTGCTTTTATTTTCTTTCTTTCTACCAGGTAAAAAATTGCAAGTCTTTTCTTGTTTGTTTTTGGGAACTAGCCAGAAAAAACACCCAAGGTAAATGTGCAGAGGAGCTTTTAAATACTGGGGTAGAGGGATATACTCCATGTTCCTATCTGCAATGCTGGGTTTAGGCAAAAACAACATAGTTTTAGAAGAGAAGGTATATTTTGAAACATTTTTAAAGTAATCCCTTAATGGACTGACTGGAGTGTTGTTGTTTTTTTTGCTTGCCCTGGAGGATTGGCTGAGAGGGAAGCCTGTTGCGTGAGAGATCAAAAACAAGGGCCGGTCTCTTCTCTTCACAGTCCTTTCAATCAGAATAGCGATAAGACTGTAGAGCAGAAATGGCTTATTTTGAATCCCACCATTTTCCAGGAAGAAAACATCCAGAATTTTTGGGGGTTTTGTCTCAGTTGAAACTTGGAACAACCAAAATCTTCCAGGTTTTCTTTTGGCTAAAGCACAGCCAGCCCACAAATGGCTGACAGAATTTCCAAAACGCTTATTAGTTTTTTTTGGGGGGGGGGGTTGGGGGTGTGTCAAAACAACACTTTCCATTTCATAAAGCAACCACTGAGCATGCACACACTGCTGTATGTACAACAATCAAGACATGCATATACTTGTTACCAAAGTTTCAACTTTCCCTTAAAAATCAGAGTAAACTCAAATCCGCCCAAATTATCTAAGTTAAAGGTAACTCATTCTTAGATTGACACCACCCAGCATTCTAAGGTCATACTGAAACCTGGAGACAAAATGATGATTAACCTCCAACCTGGTCCAAATTGTATCCCTGACATTGAGCTATTCTGTTGCCAAATGCTGATGTTATGATTCTGAGCTACTGGTGAGGTCTTAGAGTTATTTTCAGAGTGAGTGTCAAAGGAAGAAGGTTGTCTTCCAGAGGCTTCCTGTTCCCATTCCCAGTCTTAAAACCTGGCCCCACCTTTTCACTGCACCACTGGAAGGCATCCTACAGCCCTCCAGCTAGTTATGGGAGCAAGAAGCAGTCTTTGGTAAGTGGACTGCTACCTCTGGATAGAAGTATGGGGGAGAAAACATGGAAAACCTGAAGACTGCTCATCCATAATCGAGGCATTGTTTTGCAATATGATGTCACCTTCTAAAGTATAAGTAAGTATACACGTTCCATATAAAATTGAAAATTATTGTCCTGTCAGTACAAAGTGGTGATGCAATTCACAGCTTAGCTGGCTTAGTCCTTCCAAATCCAGAGGGCTAAGCTTATTTATATGGAACCATAAGTGCTTTGAACAATACAATCCTAAAATCTGCTCCCTAAAATGCTTGGGATTTCCTCTCAGTCAACTATCCAGATTGCACTCCATTTTTACTTTCTCAAAAACTGAAAGACAGGTAACAAAGTGTGATATATGTTAAATCAAGAATTAGATTCATAAAACAATACCTTTCCTGTTAAAAGAAGAACTCTCAACTCTTCAGAGATATAATTTCTGTCATTGCAAAAATCCTTCAAGGGAAAAAAAAAAGCATTTCAAGTTAAATTGAAAAACAAGTATTTAGTATTTTCAGGATTTGGTCATTCAGTTTGACAGTAATCACACTGGGGCTTCTATATTGTCTCCCCAAGTAAACAAGGGCTCATCTAAGAAATAAAATCACAATCCCACCACAGTGAAACCAATACCATAAATCCAATAGGGGACTTACCTTCTGTTTCTGTGGCATATCCGCAAGATATTTATCATGCATTAATACCAACTACTTTTAAAATGAGAACAATTTCAGAAACAATTTGTTTTAGAACATTTCAAATTCCCACAGGAGGAATTAAAAACTGGATTCTGGGTCCTTTCTGCTAACCACAGGATCCAGCGCTTTAGAATATTCTAAGTTTATAAAGATATCAAGAACCACGGGTACTCCATATGGTGCTTAAGCTAAAAGGGATCTTATTTCCCCAGTTTCTGCCTTTTATGACTGGCCTGTATATGACTGGCTTGTATAATACGTGGGATGTAGAGCTTTTCTCTACATCCCATGTATTATACACACCGGATTTATTTTTTTCCTTAGCATTAGAAATTAAGTATGTATGAACAATCATAAAATGTAAAGAACCTTTAGCATTATGTTTTCACTGGAGAGAAGAGAATCTTGGAATACAGCATTTTACTAGGTAATTATCTTAAACGGATAATTTAGAAAACATAATCCAAACATACACAGTGTTTTCTTGGCATAGCCAAAGGTACACTTAAATAAAAAATAAAGTCAAATATTTGGCTTGATTACTTTCCAACTTACCTTTTCAGGTTGTGTAAAAAATTTGGTTGGCAATACAGGATCCTTTGGAGATTCTGCATTACATAAAGCACTTTTGCTGTTGATTACACAGAGGGCCACATCACATACAGTGTAGAGTTTCTGAAGCAAAAAAATAATAGTAATTTGGAAATTATTTTGCAATTGTAATTGAAAACCAAAATGCTATGCTAATCCCCATCAATAAGCCACATATATTAAGAACTTTATGCTTTTTTTAAAAAAACCTGGCTTGTACTTGGGAACAAACTAAAGACATCCATTTGTTCCAAAACAGCACAAATACTTTAAATAACTATTGATCAAGAGGATTCTGGCCCACAAAGGCACAATTCGTAATACATGTGATATCTCTTCAAGTTCCCACCGGACTACCTACTATTCTTGCTAACGCAAGTTGCCCTCCAGGAGATTCTACTAACAGTACTTTTGGCATGTAAGCTTGTCGATCTCAGTGATATTATTTCCCCTTTATAAAAAACCATTCTCAGTTTAGCTTTGCTAACAGTTAAACTAACTTTTTTCCTCTGTAAATTGAGATTGCTAACACAAAATGCTTACAACTAATTTTCTCTCTGGAGAGAAATGAGAGACTGTCTTAGTGCTTGCCGTGAAGCATTCTGTCCATTCGTTCAATAACTGACTTCAAACCCTTTCTCTCTCCACATTTCTTACTTCATTGGCCTTTGGCTCATCTGGAGACTGTGCATCCCGTGTAAGTTTGATACTTTCTGTCATCTTTTTCATGAAGGCGTGACTGTTGTTTTCATTCTTGGTCATTAAAACTTCCAACATGAACCACAGGCACCTAGTACAAATACCCAAATGCCATAAGATATAAAAATACTTTTCCCTAGATAGAAGGCACACTTCAACCTGACAGAAACAACAGCAGACCTGGCCTGGAAGTTGATGATTTAGAATTCCGTGACCCCCTCCCCTAATGCAAAAGATGGTAAGAAACAACCTGAACAATCTTAGGAGTTACAGAGAAGTAAGATGAATGAAACTCAGAGGAGTGCTAATAGCAGAAAAATATACTCTGTAAATGTAGTTAATAATACCACATGGAATGGAAACTTCTCAAGCCAGGAGAGATCAATAACACAAAACCAGAAGACTTCAAAAATGTCCTTACAATCTAACAAAACAAACAATCTAGTTACTCAGAAAACCATACTGCAACACAGCATTGAACCCGTTGTACCATTTTTGAGGGGAAAAATCTGCCTAGAGAATAGCCTGAAGACACTGAGGGAGTTCTGCTGATAAAGCTAAGTACAACTGGTAAATTAGAGATGAAAACTGCTTATGAATCATTATACAGATGGCATTCTGAGCAACTCCAAAGAGAATGATGTAATTCAGTTAACAAGCCATGCACAGAGCATGAGCAAAGATAACTACTCTTTGTTCAGGCAAAAATAATTGCTCTTTAATCCCTGAAGAATTCTTAGTATCGTATGCAGTGCTGTGAAAAAGTATTTGTCTTCTTTGGGATTTTCTGAATTTTTGCGTGTCTTTGCAACTGCTTGTAAACTGAACTTCATGTAGATCCTAGTGATATGTAAAGTCTGAACAAATAACATCAAAGTTAGTTGCTGTTCCAGATATCCAATATGTCAGGGTTCCTCAACCTCAGCAACTTTAAGATGGGTGGACTTCAACTCCCAGAATTC